CTGGTGTCTGGAACTTCCGTTTCGCGGGCAGGGAAAATACGAGTCAGTCTTCTCTCTCTCGGGGCGTAGTTGAAATTGATCACATAGATAACACTCGACCACCAATACCAACATCAGAATCTTCTTCTCCGTCGAAGCTGCCGCCACCCAAAGATAAGTCCAGACGATTAAAGCGAAAGCAAGAAAACCATGTGCTGAGAGAGACGGATTGATCAATTGATGGATCGGAGTTCGACAGGGCGAAGAGGGCGGAATGAAAAGTGAGAGATAATCCACAAGGAACATTCGCCGAAAAGTGACGAATTAGTAACGAAGCTTATCGGTATTCGCTCATTCTTCGAAGGGAGCGACTAGGGTTTATAAAAGTTTTGCGCGCGTCCATCCCTCACAGATATATCTACGTCGAAACTCTCTATCGGCATTATTTCGCTATCCCAGCCGACCGAAGAATGCGGATCGCGCAGGAAGACAGAGCGAATAATCGATTGAAGACATAACGACGCTTGACCTTCTCGGAATCCGGCATGATCAGCATGTTCAGGAAATCTAAGGAAAGTCCCGTCGGCTGCGGAGCCGTCACGTCAGTCGTATTCCCTCGAGAACCGTTAATTAAACTCTTTTCGCATGTGCGCGAGTGATCACTGCGATTTTTCCACGGGCCCGCGCGTCGATTAACTCATCTGTCCGGTGGACGGTCAGTGCGACGCACCGAAGGAATCCTATCTAACTGCTATCGTCGTGACCCGATACGTATTAGGACTCTGATCGGACATCTTCGAAGCGATGCTGGTGTGGTTGTTGAATCCGAGCCGTCAGCGTCGGGGCCCGGCGACGAAGGCGATGACGTGAGCTAACGGTCGGTCGGTCGGCCGCGGCTGACCGAGGCGTACGATTAAGTACGTATTTATTTTCCGTTTGGGAGATCGGCGTTGAATGACTTTGTTTCTTCTCCCCGAACGACACAATCTCCCGCTCGGAAAGGCCCTCCGGGGCTTCACTGCCGATTTTGTAGTCGTCCCTTGTCACGATCTTCGTCTTCCTGATAAAGTGAGATAACGCGTATACACGAATTATTTGCTTCTTCGTTTATCCGCCGCCTCTTGATTGCTCCGACGAGAATGTGCAAGCACACAAAAGCGCGCTCACGCATTTGTCGCGCCGGAGCTGGTGATCGCTCGTCGAGATCGAGACCATGGAGAGATTTCTGATCGCACCGCTCTGACATGTGGACGCGACACCGACGTCCGCGGTGGCGATTTCACGAAAAACGTCAGTCTCTTGCGGAATCTTATTTTTTGTCTCCACTTCGGATCGGCCCCCCAAGCCGTCCCACCTGGACTCACGTAATACCGCTTGCCGTATTGGATGTGATTCGTCACGAGCGATAATCCGAGCGGCTTAAACGCTGAAGCACAATCGAGTGACGGCGAAAGATTCTCATCGGTTTAGATGATAAGCAGAACCCGCAAGAGAATAAAGAACGATTTTGAGTTTCCTTCTCCTCTCCCCGAAGTTCTTCACCCGCCTCTTGGATATTTTCTTGTTGTCTCTACCCATAAAATTCTCCCGCATCTTCCACGGGAGCTTCGATCTGGTTCGGAGGCGATGCCTTTTCCGATCGAAGTGCGCGGCTGTTTAACGAGTCCGATGGTAATCTAGACCTCTGACGGAAAAAGGAAGTGATCATCGACTCGCGTGGATCTACACTGATTCACACGTGATCGATGTTCGTGTTTCCGCAGGAATGAACTGTTTACGGGTCAACCAGATAGAATAGGCAAACACTAAACGTTGTCTCCCTAGGACAAACGGTCGAGCAGGTAGTACGGCTGCTCTTCGCGGCTCGCCAGGCGTAAATAGACGTTTCGTAAATAAATTATAAGTCGCGCTGTTATAAGTCGCAGCTTGTCGAGCCGTGCTCGAGTCGGCATTCATTCGCTACGCGACTCACTCGGATGCCCCTCACCTCTGTCTGAAAGCCCTCTGCAATCAGACGAGTACGTTCTGTAGTTTGTCGATTATTCGGCAACGGGGGGAGCTTATGGCAAACAAACGCGAAACGGGTATAGCATAGCCTGCGTCCGCGGGAAACTCGACCGCGGATCGCCAAAGACGTTCGGGTTACTCCCCGGACGGTGCGCGGTAATCCGTTCGTCGTCGGTAAGCTGCTCCTGTTTGCCCAGACGCTGCTAATCGGTGCAGGTCTGCGATGTTCGCAAGCAGAGACGTTTGTACGTACGCGCGTACGTAAATACGGACGTCTCGTCAGAAAATGCAATAATCAATGGTGGGCTGTCATCCGCTGTCTGATCTGATGGAGAAGCGGCCGCAGTAGACACAAACAAAACGAAAGCCCAACCCGGCTGAGCCCAGCCCATTTCTGCATGACCGACCGTATGAACGAAGAGAGCGGAGGCTCGGCCTCCTTGCACAATATGCAGGCCGCTCTCCAGGAGATGGACGGAGGACTCGACAAATAAATACATATCACATTTGCCAACGCTAGGAGAAACGTCCGGGTTAGCATCGGGTTACACCATGTGAAACATATGGTTTCCTCTTTCGGTCGAGCTCGGTTTCGTCGTCTCGGGTGGGATAAGCGTTTTTGAATATTCTCTCGCCAACCCTGGTCTCGACCCATCACATCTCCAAGAGAAAGAGAAAATCGAAACAAAGGACCGACGGGGCGATTTTCGGTGAATTCTGCGTGACACCGCCTGTTTTCAGTGCCGATTCTCCAAGGCGCAGCTCAGTATTTCATTCCGGCGCCCTAGACAATCATAGTGATTCAGGGGAGGCATTGCACATTTGTGAAGAGAGGCTAGTCGCAAGCTAGTTTTACGCAATGTCAGCCGAAACGGGTCTCCTTCTTAATGGCCGCAGTGCCGAATTCCCAAACGCTGCTGGTAAAAGATTCACTCTGATAGCATTCCGTCGGCACAATAGTCAAGCTGCGCCACCTTCCGAGCCCATTCTGTGGATTTGCGTTTTTTTTTGATTTCCCAATGCGGTCCCCAGTCGTCGTTGGCGATGACAACAACAACAGCAACGAATCGCAAAGAATATTGTCAGGAAACAACGTCGATGTTCTTATTGTGGTCGTCGGCCGAGTGTGTCAGTCGAAATGTCTATTGTACGAAATCGTATCACCGAGCTCGGATCCTGGAGAGCTCTGGGAGCTGTTCATCTCCGTAAATGGCTTCTGGGAAAGAGTTTCTGTCTCGGGCTCATTCGTTCGGGGAGACTCCAGAAGCAGGAAATTTGAGCGAACCTCACAAGAACGCTCATTCCTCAGCACGTAGCATTGAGCAGGGACCGATCGATAATCAGGGTGTCGAGACCGGGAACGATTTTCCGGCGAGTGCCGCCATTCATAAAAATATTCCCCCCATCCGGCGGAGTTTTTACCGATGGAGCGATACAGACGCCTCAGCGAGCAGTCTAGCTAGCTGATCTTCAATTAAATGTTGAGAACCTTGAATGCTGCAATTGAATGTGTTCACTGAGCCGGGGCGCAGACTCCGACAATCGACCACGATTCGAATTTCCGAACGTGATTTGACGACCGACGCCTAAATGGCATCCATCCGAGGAGCGGATTTTAATTCCACGGGAGACGGATTCCGGAAAACGGAATCCAGCGCCTCGAATATGTCGGGCGCAGCACACCGGTGCGGTCACACGAAATTCGGTGATAAATGGCCACTTTAGAGGGCTGTCTTAGACACGCACTGGGGGCTGAGCGCATTCGGATCTATCGTAGCCTGGAACAAACCCGACCGAACACGAAATTTTCTCGATCCGAACTCTGAGGATTAAGGGTAGGAAAGCGGAACGCTCCTCGTAGAGCGTGGACGTTTGGCAACAGATGCTCCCCGCCGCGGCGGAGGAGATCGTGCTGAATCCGGACCCGCTCCGGAATGCTCTCATACGTGAACCGTATACAGAAACGAGATCCGACGGGAGTGGTTGTTACAAGGCTCCACCGATTCCTCGTCGGTCGTTCGTTAATCCATCCATCCATCCACCCATCCATCAAGCCATTTCTACATGATGATTGTCTGTGCAACCTCGATACGTCTCCGCTGTCCTCGAGCTCCGTAAAAAGCTCATCCCGTGTATCGCTCGCTATTAACATAAGAGGGGTCAATGTGTGCGGTCAAACGGACAGACGCAACGAGCGGTCGAGAGACAGCCAAATAGTAGACCGATGCTTCGCGTTCCTTCTCGGTGCTCTGTCGACAAGCAGATGACAGACGTCTCTCTACTGGCGAGCGACGAATCGGATGAGCGCTCCGGTCCCTGGAGAGGTCGAGCACTGTTCGACAAACTCTCAGGACTCCGAGTCCCGATTGCCCGCTCCCCGGCGTCCCGTATCCCCCCCCCCTCCCTTCGGCCTACGACGAAGACCCTCAAACTTGCCGCATCTCTATCGGCGGAACGCTGTCCGTCAAACTCGCGCCCAACTTCTTATCGCGGATTATCGCGGCTCATTCATGGAATCGTGGTTTCGGTCGCGGGTCCGTGGGGTTCTCAACTAAGTAAGAGGAAAGGGAGAGGGTTCAGGGTCGACGTTGGGTTTCTTCTGTCGTGGACCCCGTTATCGCGCATCAAATTGTAGGGATTATTTTTTTGCATTGCTCGGCGCACACTACGGTGTTACCTGGTTTTGGCTTTCAAAACTTCACAGCCGGCGAGTGTTGCCACCGCGGCCGGACGGACTTTTCTTGCGGTGCCGCATCCACCCCCGACGTTTTTAAGCTATATATCCCTCCTCTTTCAGAAAAGAGCGACTCCGACTGATTTTCACACGCGCCAGTCTCTTGTGAGAAAACGAGATGCTGGCGAAAATAACAGATCAGCAAAAATCCGCTCGGCCGAACCAAGTTCACTCGCGACGACCCGATGAGGTGCCTGTGCGCGCGAGCGTTTGTCAATCAAGGCCCGATTCATCCAGTCTTTGTTTGACGCCGCTGACGGATGAGGTAACCCCAACTCACCTGATAGTAGTACGGCCAAGCCGCACACGAAGCAGGCACTGGTGAACCGCATGTTGAAAAAGTCCGACCGCCTCTAGGCGGCTGTGAGCTCGATGGAGCTTTAATCCGAACCGGTGGGAACTGACAAGTGCCGTAACTCAACACATTGAACACATGAACTCAAAAAGACCTCGTCGGGAAAATTTCTGCGTTCCAAAGGGCGTGAGAATAACAGTTCCGGAGCGCAATCCGGAATTCACTGCTCCAGCATCGGGTAGTCCGGTCCGAAGCCGGATTCGGTATCCAACCGAAAACTCTAACTGATCCACAGAGATGAGAAGTCAATCAAGCCTCCCGAACGAAGCCTGCTGGGATGCACCGGACAACACTGCGAATATCCTTCTGCGTGTGGTCTTCGTCTAATGTCGTCTCGACGTAAGTCACTGTTTCACCTGTCACTCACAGGAAATCCCACTGTGGTCGATGGGCCCCCAGTCTTCGAATTCGAAAGCCAACTCAAAAACACAACAAAACCAACAATAGAATTTGCTCCAAGCGTGTAACCTGTCGATTCCTGTCGGATCGACAGTCCGCGCGCTTTTCAACTGAGGATGTAGCAGCGGCGGCGGCGGCGGCGACGAGTCAGCCGGAGAGGCCGCGATAGAGAACTTATGATGCACGACTCACTCACTAAGGTGCTGTCTCACAGAAGGCTGTCTGTTTGACAGAAGGCGGCCGCGGCGCCACCAATCGAAACCGTCACCGAAGCGCTTTCGGATAGAAACTGCGTCCGCGACTTCAGAAGGACGTAACACGCGGACGTTGGAGAGGGTTTGTGGAGAGGACCGTCGGAGAGGGGAGCCTTCCAGATTGGTTTCACTACATTGGTCGGTTACTCGCTGCGACAGGACGTGGGCGTAAAATCTGTCTCCGAAGTTATGTATCTCGAAGCGAGTTCGACGGCGACAAAGTGTCTTGATTAGATAATTGCATCTTTTGTAAAGCGAAGTTCGGCGAAGTGGAAACAACCCACTCCGCTGTGTCGGAAACTTAAAAACAACACATCATTATTGTCAGAGTCGACATGCCTCTATCTCAATCCTGGTTCTGATGAATCCGGGGATTTTTTCCGGCTCTCCGCGGCCTATCGTTGCCCCGGTCGGTTGGTGTTCCCTCGCCTATGCGCCATGCCAGGAGAACCCCACTTCGGCTAGTACTCCGCTTCAGCGGAATCGTTTCCGGAACTTGTTCTGGGAGGGGAGATTCCCGGTTTCCTGGTATCCTTGGCCGCCCTTGAGGGTTTCTTCCAAAGAGTTTAGCGGTATAGGTAGCCTTCGAGCTCCGCTTTCGGTAACAACGAGTGGTAACAATGGAGTTTCGCTGCGTTCTCAATTTTAATCGTTCGGAGACTGCTCGAAGATATCCAGTGGTCGAAATCATTACTGAGTCGGCTCATTGTGAGTTCCAGCTATTGTTCCCTTTCGACCGAAAGAAGCTTGGAACGGAGCAAACTACGTTTTCGGGGGCACCGATGGAAGATCAAATCCGTTTCCGTTCCGACACGGCCGCAGCGGGACGAGTCGGTGATTCACAAATCGGATTCACGACTGTCTGTCGAAGCCTCTCTACTGGAATGTGTGTCTCAGAAACTTTTCAGGAGATCCCGACAGTCCACACGAGAGGCAGGTTCGAACGAGGAAATTGTCCGAGGATCCTCATAGGAGCGGTCATGCGCCAAGTTTTCTGATCTCCTACATTCGTCTCATCTTGAGCTACTACATCACGTCATTTATGAACCGTGTTAGCCGTGCTCCCAAATACTATTGAGGAGCCGAGTTCATTTCGACAGCGGGATTCCCAGATGAAATCTCATCTCGCCCGAAATTTGATCTGGAATCAATGAGACTCTGCAGGCTCGTAATTCGCCTTGAGTCTTTATCCAGGTCAAAGTTGGGAAGTCGATCGGGGACTGAAGTCTCCCGAATATCGGGATCAGCGAGGGGAATTCGGATTCGTCACAAGACCACTCACGGGGCTCCCATCTCGACTCGATCGCTCTGAGGAGATTCCGTGAGAGATACACGGAAAAACGGCGGAGTCCGTGTCGGCAAGGTGTGCGCCCAAGCCTGCTAGAATTAGACTGCGATTGGAGTCCTTCGGCACAGCGTGCTCGCTGAGTTCTCGATAATTAGTTACACAGGCAGGGACCTCGCTCACCGTCTTGCATGTCGCGGTCGGACAAGACACCGGCGAGGGCTAGGTGAGCCGAAGGAGTTGCGGAGGATATCCGAGACGCCCGCCAAGACGAGTAGCAGGCAATTATGCTCGACACGGATCTGCCTCAAGGGATGAGCTAAGAGAGATTGTCAATCTACAGAAATTCTAATTACACATTACCATGTTCCGACGGCTTCGACCCGACAAAAATGCTCCGTCCGATGTGTTCGAGAGACAGATCGACGTCGAGCTGGCGAGCGATTCCGTCGAGTCGGTACCGGCTTTCGGAAAAGACGACTCCCCAGACGGGCCCTTGTGGATAAAATCCTCTGCAGGAAGCGCCTGCCAAGGCAGGGATCGGCGGTGGCAGCAACCGAGACGGCTCGCACTAAAAACGTCCGTGGAGGAACGACAGCATTTTTGCGCTCGAATAACAAGTCATGACAACATCTTAAGTAAACATAGCACCTCCCATAGCGTCCTGCTCCGGCAGTCGTCCGGATTCTGGCTCACAAGTCCATTACTGAAAGAGGGATTTTTTTAGAGCGAGGATACAATCATGAAATTCTTCAAAAATCCTCCACCTGATACGATTAATCATTACCGAGAGAGTCTGGAACTTCGCAGGCTCCTGCGTTCCTAGTTCAGATTATAGGCTCAAGCCCCCAGTCGAACGTTGGTAATTCTACGTTTCGAGTTTCCAGACTTCGAAAGCATAAGATGAGTCCTGCGTCCTGCTGCATCCTTCCATCGCTCAGATAATCGCAATACGTCTCAACCGACGATAGGTCTGGATGGGGAATCGCAGCGAAGAGTTCAGACGAGGACGAGGATCCTCGAGAGAGCCAGGTCATACCTTGCAAATACATGAATCAATAATTCAGAGCTATTCATCCTTTGATATCGGTAACAGGTGCGAGCGAGGTCATTCGCGTAATTCGGTTCCAGAGTTCTCTCCGAAACTACAAGCCTCGAGCAATTGGCTTCGGAATGATTCGACCCGCAGAGTTCACCGGGAGAATCTTGCGTCTCTCGTTCCTAATGAAGATGAACCGCCTGAAAACTGTTCCGAGATAACGAGTACGGATCCCTCGGAGCGGATCGTGAGGTATCGGTGATGTTCACAAGCTGCCATGACAAATTGGCCTGGAGACGATTATTATCGTCCTACTGTCTCAGCATCGATCATTGCAAGTATTGTCGGTATCATCATTGTATTCCGATCGTTTTAAGAATCAAATGCACCTCGGTCCGCAGGTTCGGTCGAAACCGTGGTTTTCATATAACGTAAGGATTCGAAATGGACACATGGTACATATGGACTCGATTCTCGGGATGGATTCGGCTCCGCGGGGCAGAATTTGCACGTGGGTTCTCCTGGGGAATTTCTAAGCGGACGAAATAACGATTCTGTTCTCAGGGATGTGCCCGAACCGGAAGCAACGTCCCAAGCGGGCCTTGACACCCAGACTGCGGTACGGCGGAGCAAATGGCACTAAAGAGCTTTGTTGCTCCTGCGCCCCGACTGAATTCTGCGAGTAATTCGGGCAGAGGAAGAATTCCAGCGATTAAAACGCCGCTGGTCGCCGTTCCAAGCCTTCCGAGACCTAGAGCGGGGACTGGCACTTTCGCGGTGTGGCACCCACGAGGACATGCACGCGCTTCCTAGATCAAGGAACTCTAGAGGAATGAGGACCAGACGACGCGATTATTCGCAAAGTTTGTGCGAGAGATTTATGTCAATGACGAGTACGCAGGCTCCAAAAGTTCTGATCAAAGTTGCCCTCCGCTTTGTCAGATGCACTCAGCTCGATCCTCAGTCGCATTTCTCCGGAGGAACAATCGACAGAAAACAGTCTGTACCACGATATTTCACAAGGCCCGCCGATGTGCCCACAACCTACGCGCCCGCCGCCTAAGCCTTCGGAGCCCGAACTCCGGGCCCCCGGTGGTTTCTCTGAGCTTTTAAATCCATGTGATTCCGTTAACCAATTTTCCGTGGAGGTCGACGTTGCGTAACGTTGCGCAACAGCTGATGAACAAGTCGCCCCCTCTCAATCCCTCAATTTTATTCCTGTAGCTTTTTCCATTCTCTCACTCCGTCTCGCAATCCCTGGAGCATACTCGATCCCCAGTCAGCCAGGGCTTAACCTTGTTCCTGTGGTCGCGTATTCTGCCTCGTGTACCGAGCGCGATGAGCTGTCTCCTTCGTGAGCGGAGCAGTCTGTCAGAGCGTCAGCTAATCCCGAACGAACGGAATCCTTGCCTCCTTTCATATGGACGGGCTCATGATAACTCCAGAGCTCACCGCATTATGCGGCTTTTGAGCCGGCCCGGGAAGGACGCGCGCTGCCTGCAGGGTCCCGAACGGTTGTTTTTAAATAATTTCTCCGGAGTGTGAGCTGAGCCACCGAGACGGCCCACGAGCGGGACGGCAACGATGGGAGGAAAAATCGATGAAATCCGTGTTTCCCGTCCTGGATAGCTCCGGTAGACTCGTACGAACGACTCATATTCTTATAGACGAACTCCAGGAGGTCGCATTTCTTATGGAGAGGCTCATGGAGATATAGCGCAGGTGATCCGCGACGGTGATGCCGTCAAGCGAGGCAGTTTCCCGAAGCTCAGCTCAGTTCTGTCTCCAATTCTAAAGCTTCCTCGATCTCATTCGTGTCCATCACTGACGCTGGAGAATTCTTGTCTATTGTGAGTTCTCTGGTGGCACCGTCATCCCTTCGGAAGAAAAAACTCGCGGAGCAATTTCGCAGGAGCGATCTTTTTTGCACGAGAACTACATCTACCAGACGAGTCGGAGACCGCTACCGACAGGTGGTTTGCTGTTCCAGCTTAGCGTTC